GGTAAAGCTACTCGCTGGGAGTCGGAGGCCTTTGCTGTTCACCTTGGGGCGTGACAGGGATGTCCTCTGGCCCCTACACGATTTAACATCTTCTTTGACCACGTAGTTTGAAATACTTTCCTGGGCTATACTGGAGCAATTTACATCTGGTACAGATACAATGGGAGACTGAGTAATGCCTGTGTGTAGTCAAGGAATAACTCCCTATTGGTCAAATATGTTATGTATGCTGATGATCTGGTAACTCCTCATTGGCTATTGTGGCTTCACATTTCCATGATGTGGGTGCGGCAACCTCGTCACCTTGTGGGACAGACGGCTCACACTTAGAGCGATGTCGGGTGGCTCCTCCACCGCGGCGCCCTGCCGTCAGGGCCGCCCCGGGGCCTTTGCAAAAACCAGGCCGGGTGTGCCACCACCTTGCCATCCTGCATGGCCGATGGGCTGTTCAGGCGAGTATGCTGGGCGACTTCTGGTCGAGGCTGCGGCGCTATGAAGCCTTCGCCTCTATGGGGCCTATGCGTCTGCGGCATGGGTGAGGCATTATCCTCGCAACGTGCGGCTGTCTGCTCAGCCTTGCGATGGGGTCCGGCCGATGGGCCGTGGGCGCTCACTCTGTGCATGCACATGGCTGGGTGGTGCTTTTGGCTAGTGGCGCTTGCCCGCATGCTGGGCCGCCTACACCGGTGGGCATGCGTCGCGCTCTGCGATGTGGGGCCACGCGCCTGCGGTCTCCGTGTGGCTGTCGCCGTGCGGCGACTTGGCAGTCACTGGTGCTGCTGGCATTGTCCTGCCGCTGGTGGTCATGCAAGTGAACCCTGGCCCACAGACCTACACCAGGGCTTTGCATCTGGGGCTCCACTTCCAGCCACTGCCAGCCACTGCCGCTGGTGCTTCCCACTCACCACGTCCCTCTGGAAAGTCTGGTGGCGGCGTTCGGCTGCTCATCCCCTCCTCCTGGATCCCCTCGACCATATCCGATTCCCTCACCACCTTTTTCTCTTTCGAATTAAAATTTTCCTCTTTCTCATTACCCCACTCAAATTCCTTCCTGATCGTTTACTGTTCTCCGAGTTCCAGTTTATTCAATGATCTAGACTGTCTTCTCTCAACTCTCTTTCCAACCTCTTCTCCAATAATCCTACTGGGCGACTTTAACCTTCGACCTATAGTGTATCCCCTCTCCTCCTACTCATTGCTCGGGTAGCACACTCGATCTTATCTTCAATCCTTTAATTAACCCATCTTCAATCCTCTAGTTAAACCATGCCCTCCATCCGATCACTTACTATTGACTGTGACACTCTTAGTTCCCTCCTCCCCCAACTTTCCCGCCTTGCCCCACACCCCCATGCCTCTGCCACAATCTACGCTCCCTTGACCACTGCGCACTTGGTTTCCTCATCGCTTCCACCAATCTCTGATTTCTCCTATATGCACCCCGACACTGCTTTTTCTGTCCTAAATTTAGTACTTTGTTCCTCTTTGGATGCGCTTGCACCTATGATCCCCTTCCACCCACCGCAATGCCCCCATCTTCTTGGTTTTCACCAGCGCTCAAGTCGCAGTGCCGGCTGGTGCGCAAAGCAGAGCGCATCTGCAGGACTCCACCAACCTATAGCTCACGCTCCTCATATAATTCCCTCCTTTCAAATCACACTTCGGCCCTGGAGGCTTCTTGCCAATCATACTTTCTTTCCCTCAATTCCACCCTATATCCACACCCTGCTCTACCCTTCAATGTGCTAAACTCTCTGCTCCTTCCGTCTTCTACTGCTCCTGCAACTTCCTCTTCTGCCCCCACTCCTGGGTCCTCTCCAACTACTTCATGAACAAGATCACCCACATCAGCTTCTCCATGATCACTGCAAAAGCTATTGATATCCCTGCACCTACTCACCCCTCCACATTCATCCGTACTACTTATTCCTTAAATGCCTTCTCTGCCGTTTCCATCCTGGAGCTGTCTCCCAACATCTCAAAAACCCGCCACATATTTTCCTCCCTCGATCCCCTTACGCCTTCCATTCTTCCGTCCCTTCTCCCCACGATTATTCCATTTCCCTTGGCTCTCTTTAACTTTTCCCTCTTTTCCGGAATCTTCTCCAACTTTTATAAAAAGCGCCATCATCATACCGCTTCTCAAAAAACCTTCTGTCCCTGCACTATATCGCCCTATTTCTTTGCTTCCTTATTTATCCAAACTCACTGAACACTTAGCCCAATCTTGCCTCTCATCCTACATCTCTTCCAACTCACTGTATCCCCTCCATCAGTCTGGGTTCCGCCCTCTCCATTCCACTGAAACCGCCCTCCTTCACATCCACAATCACCTGGCCAACTCGCGTCACTCCGGTCTTTCCTCCGTCCTTATCTTTCTCGATCTGTTTTCTGCTTTCGACACCCTCGACCACTCCATCCTCCTATCCACTCTCTCCAAACTCAGCATCTCTGACACCCCGCTTTCTTGGATCCATTCCTACCTGACTTCTCATTCATCGACTGTCTCTTTCAACCACTGCTCTTCCTCCACCACCCCCCTCATGGTTGGTGTTCCCCAGGGCTCGGTACTTGGTGCCCTTCTGTTCTCGTATATACATCTCCCCTAGAGTCTATTATTTCTTCCTTTGATATCTCCTATCAGCTCTTTGCCGATAATACTCAAATGTTCTTCTCCCACAAATCATTCACCCCCGATCTATCCCTCCGCATCTGACAGCCATACAAGCATGGATGACCAAAAAATTCCTTTCCCTAAATCCTTCCAAAGCCTCAGTGCTTCTTTCCATCCTCTCGCTCACCACCCCCTGCACCCTCCATTTATTTCTTCCCCCATAGCCTCTCCCCAAACTCTACTGCCCTAAATCTCGGTATTGCCTTCGATTCCACTCTCTCCTTCACTTCCCACATTGCCAACACCACTTGCAGATGCCATGACTATCTGTACAACATTAAGAAAATCTGCCCACTCATTACTACCACTGCTGCCAAACTCCTCATACACTCCCTTGCCTTCAATTGTCTGGATTACTGTAACTGACTCCTGGTCGGTCTCCCTGCTTACGCCTTTATCCCTCTCCAACACATCCAAAACGCAGCTGCACGGACTGTACTCAACCTTCCATACACATCTCACCAGAGGTGTGGACTCGAGTCATGTGACTTGGACTCGAGTCAGACTCGAGTCATGAATTTGATGACTTCAGACTCGACTTGGACTTGCATAACAATGACTTTGTCCCACCTCTGAGGTGTGGACTCGAGTCATGTGACTTGGACTCGAGTCAGACTCGAGTCATGAATTTGATGACTTCAGACTCGACTTGGACTTGCATAACAATGACTTTGTCCCACCTCTGCATCTCACTGCTCTCCTCTCCTTCAACAACTTCAGTGGCTTCCTGTCTACCAATGCTGTCTTTTAAAATTCCTCACTCTAGTATTCAAACCTGTGCACGGTCTTGCCCCGCCATACCTCTCTTCTCTCATTTATGTATGTCCCTTCATGCTCCCTTCAATCTCAATATTCCCGTCTTCTCACTTTTCCATCACCTCCTTGCGCCCAGTCTCGCTTTTGTTCTTTCTCTCTTCTTGCCCAGTTGCACTGGAATAAACTCCCACTCCACATCAGACTCTCAGCCTCGCTTTCCACCTTTCGCTCAGCCCTCAGGTCCTTTCTATTCTCTATTGCTTTTTCTCTTCCACTGCCTCCACCCCAACCGGTTCCTTCGCACGCCTCTAACCTATTCCCAGCCCCCAAGTCATCTTCCTCTGTCGGAAAGACAGCGACAGACCTGTTCTTCACCTGAGGACGGCTGCTTGCGTTGTGGCCGAAACGTCGTGAGAATGATTTTATTATGTTTTATTTTTATTATTTTATTATGTTTTATTTTTATTATTTTATTATTTCCCTTCTACGTGACTTTACCGAAAGAACCAAGAGGAACCCTAAAACAAGCCCAAGCGCCTGTGTCTCGAGGAAAAGGCAGAGCCTAAATATAAAAACAGGAAGGGGTGGGGCCTAAAGAGGAATAAGTGGCCTCCAATTAAAACAAAAAAACTGCAAACCCACGACAAAAAAAAACAATTCCGCATATATAGCAGTGCTTTAACCATGACCTTCCCTGTTGAACGAAGGAAATGAAAGGAAAGCATCAAATAAGTACATCATCTCGAAAACGTATAATGCTGAAGGTGTGCCCACAAGCCAAATATAACATAAATAAAAAGCAGCAATTTATTTATCCCGTTGTAATAGGTGATTGTTTTTTTTTAATAAAATATGAAATACTGTACTATATTGTGCCTAACCTCCACTAAAAATCACCTCCGTTCGCTTGACTGCCACACTCCCCAATTGCTCTTGTTAACCACGTCTCACCCTTTATTGTGATCCATTTTTCTCCCCTCACTTATTTTCATTCTCTCTCCTCACTCTTATCACCCATCACTGTCCTCTCTATGGTAAGTCCTCGGTTAACGCGTTTTCGCTACAATGTGGTTCTTCCATTAGTGAACGCTTTTAACACAACGCAGAAAGTGCCCGCTATGACGCGGACCGTACATACCGTTATAGCGCGCTTTCTGAGCTGCGCGGCTGAGCGTTACAATACAGTACGCTTAATGATACAGTAAACCTCTGTCATTTGTCCCGCCATCTTCCTGTGTGCCTCGTACATAATATATAGGCAAACTTTATCATTACATTTTTTACGGAGAAATGATTTCACTTAGCACATTTTTCACTTGACACAGAACTTTACGGTAACCTGTCTACCGCGTTAAATGAGGACTTATTGTATTGCTCATCTCCCTCCCAATGCCATGCCCGCCTAATGTCTCGCCACCCACCACAGTAAGCATTACACTATTTGCAAAAGGAGCCACCTTCCTAATATTCACAAATAAAACCCAAGCGCCAGTGTGAGTAGGTCAGGATCACCCTTAAAATGGTAGGTGTCATAAAATGATCAGTGTTATAAAATAAGTCACCTACTTACCAATGTTGGTCAAGAAGGTAATAACTTTAGAAGTGTTGTTGTCGGTGTCCTCTATTTGAAATTCACGAATGCAACTGCAGGCCTCCACATATAACGCAAGGAAGTGTTTTTCCACTGGCTTGATAAATCCACTCAGCAGTACCCTCTTTGGATCACGTGGAATTGCTTTTGAAATTTGCATTATGGGGTTTTTGATAAATGCTGAACACACCAATGGGATATTGTTCACCTCGTGGTCGGAGCGGGACAAAACCCGATGAGACACTGTATACAAATGAAATAAAAGTAAAATATATGTCAGTAAAGTTATTATAAATGCCAATGAATATGAACATCATACAATTGTATTAGGTCTGTCTATTAATTTTAATTGGGTGGATGGGGGACACTAACTCACAAAAATGATCCAATATGAATAAACCTGGAGGATGAAGTTACTATTAGAAGAAAACATACGCCTTTCAAAACTGGCCTAATTGATCAAAGGGTTGCCAAAAAGTATTTGCAAATGAAAAAATTTTTTCCCAAATATCTACCCTTCGGCATTTACTGTTATTTTTTTTAATGGTTACTGCAGCACTAACAGCATCAGGAGCAACACCAGTACAAGGCAGCAATAGCACTAACAGTAGCAGTCACGTAATAGTAGTAACGGAAGTGTTGGTGAGGGCAGCTTCGACAGCAGCCGATGGCTACGGAGCAGCCTTGCTTTGTCGTCTGTTAGCCTGGGTCTTTTCCACATCTGGCAAAGCTTCCAGCTGATCTACCATAACATCACTCACCTGTGCTGCCCTTCCGAGTCTTTGCCGTACATCCTGGCACCCCCATTCCTGAGCTGCAGGCCAAATTCTGCCAACTGAATATTTTCTGCTGGCTCGCCTACATCCCCGTGGTCTGTCACTTTACTGGCAGCCACGGACCTACAGCCAATGGCTACTCTATTCCCGAACATGGCCTCACCAATGTGCCCAGAAATCATATGCTTGGAGCTCCCTCCAGTCATGAGCCAGTATAAAAAAATACTCTAAGGTAGTTTAAAACGTAGGCTTTTGCGACCAATATCCATAATAAAGGTTTTTTGGGCTAGATCACGTAAATATATAAATGTATCATTAAACCTGCCACGTGACAAACCTTACTAATTGGCTGTGTCGGGTGGTGGCGGGATTAACGACGTAGAAATATTTACGCGAAGGTAATACACCTGCTAATAAGGCAGCCTACCCAAAGCATTAAGTTCAAGTCTTTGCACTATCAGGTGACCAGCCAGTGGAAAACTATTTTCCCGGGGTACCCTCATTACAGGTACAGCTACCATTGGAGGACACACTAATTACAGCAAAAGTTTAAAATAGTGGATCAAGTACTGGCCGACAACCTCAACCAGGTATAAGAACAAGACGGAGCCATTTCAAAATACGCGAGTATGAGGCGGTGGAAGTTCTCTGGGTGATGTGTTAAGAAACCAGCGTTGAGGAACAAAATTATCCCTGCAAGTATTCCTCCAAAATGATGGGAGGCACTGTGGTATTGCGGTTTTGCCATAATTGCAGGATATCAGGGGTTAATTTCTCAACATTATTTTGTGGAATGCAACTAGGTTTGCTAGGATTAGTTATCAGTTTAAGGCACTATCACTAGAGTAAAATATATTTCTAACCCTAATAATCCCAATATTGTATCATATCTTTTTGACCCATGAGCATTTTTATTGCATAAGAAGGGCAAATATAAGGTGAGGTGAATGTGGTGCACCAAAATAATTCACAGACCAGAGGTACAGACTGTTTTGGCTGAATTAAGAACTAATTATCATTCACTTTTTTTCAGTTGAACGTGACCAGGTATGTGTCACTCCAATCAAAACTTGTTTTCCATCATATAGGTTTTATGGGTTAGATCGCGTAAATATAAATGTCGTTAAACCCTCCACCACCCGACAACCAATTAGTAAGGTTTGTAAAGTAAACAGAACATGCCAATTAGTTACTAGTACAGCACGCCGGTGTGTTGAAGAGTAAATCCACAACATTTATAATCTGAGTTCGACGTTTATTGTTTTATATTCAGTGGTGATCAAATAGTGATAAAATACACATGTGATTATTTTCAAACTTGTTACAATTGCAATATAATTTATTTAAACGAAAGCACGAATAATATATACCTGCTTCATCTTTGAAGGTCAAAACCCAGTACTGATCCATTTCTTCCTCATTTGCAATTTCTCCTCCACCAGACCACCTTTCACTTTCAAAGTACATCAGGAGAACTTTCATATCCAGGTTGGCCATCTTCTCCACTCTGATGGCAGTTTTTATTTCAGAAGATTCTATTCCTTCATTTTGCAGTGCTGAAAAAAAAACATGCATAGCTCGTGTTTCATCCAGAACAACCCAATGTTTTTTAGACTCCTGTTGCATAGCCTTTATATATACAGGATGAGCCATAAGTAAGTACGTGATTTGAAATAGCGGACTTTTGTGTAAAAAAAAAAATTGCAGAAATAAAGAAGCCTGGAAGTTTATGATGAACCAGTATACACCTCAGCAGTGTGCAAGAAAAGTTAACATTTGTTTCAGAAACAATTGTTGGATTATTTCAACAGAGAGAGACAATCACAGATTATTTAAGTCCCAAACGGCTCCAACTCTGCACCATATTTGGGTGTTGATTTCCCGATTTCGGGAATCAGGAACAAGGTGGATGCAAAGCATTGGCAGACGTCGAACCAGTCGATCTCCGACTTCTATTGACCAAGTAAGGGAGAGTGTCAATGAAAACCATGAAACTTCGACAAAGAGACGCTCCGCTCAATTGGGGATCGCACAACGATCGCTGTCACGAATCCTGGAATCTTTTTCCATATGAGATTCAGCTGGTGCATGAATTACAGCCCAGAGACCATGAAAGCCGCCTAGACTACTCACGTTCTTTCATGGAAATTGCAGACCAAGACAATGCTTTCATTAAAAATGTAAAGATGTCAGATGAAGCTCATTTTCACAATAGCGGCTTCGTCAAAAAACCAAAATGCAGGTTTTGGGATGCATAAATAATTGTATCGAATTTCCATGAATTAACGTTTTTTTATCATTTAGAGTTTGTGTTTTTATTTACTTTTTCAAAAGTTATAGGCAAAACAAATCAGGTACATATGGCCCACCCTGTATACTGCAGGAAAGAGGTATATACACTTTCTACAAAATATATATAATGTTCCTGAACAAATGTCCTCTTTTAGAGGTGATAGCCATAACCTAAACTCACAAGTGTATAGCATTCTTTTTAATTGCATAAAAATATGTATTGTTTATTCATGTGTAATATAGTCTTTGATGTTTACTGTGTAGCATGTTTATCAGGCAATTTTATAATGTACACATTTAAAATTGTAATTTAACAAAATGTTGTCATATAGCTTAAACCAATGTAAAAAACACAACTTTGCAAGTAACAATTATTTTCACTTACATTGATGTGAAGTGTTGCTACTAACTTCAGTAATTATTGTTTGTCTTTTATTTTTCAAATGATCCTAATGGAGAAAATGCAAAAAAAAAAATAATGAATTACAGTATTGAAAGTAAAACATTACATCTTCTTGGTTCTTTCGGTAAAGTCACGTAGAAGGGAAGTAATAAAATAATAAAAATAAAACATAATAAAATAATTCTCACGACGTTTCGGCCACAATGCAAGAGTCTCTCACCTTTCTGAAGAGATGCCGCGACTCTAAGACCTGGTTTTCACCTGAGGACGGCTGCTTGTGTTGTGGCCGAAACGTCGTGAGAATTATTTTATTATGTTTTATTTTTATTATTTTATTACTTCCCTTCTACGTGACTTTACCGAAAGAACCAAGAAGATGAATCCCTGCAGTCACGAAAGCTTTAAATCGAAATAAAACATTACATTCACAACTTTTATATGGATATATTTGCAAATATAAAACAAAAAGTATTTTGAAATCCATGAAGTAAAAAGCATTCACAATTACCTGTGCCAGACTGTCGAAATTAGCAGGCTCCTCATCTATTTGCTTGGCAGAGACTGATACCAGAGGTTCATTCTGTCCATTTCCACAACAGCGACTCACTGACAGCTTATATTTCTCATTTCTGATTTCCAGCACATGTTCCGGCTTCTTTAACACCCGCTCCAGCACTATGCACACAGGAAGCAGAGACAAAGAACAAATAAGTGTCCATTATTTGTAACATAGATATCAGACTAAGTTATTATCTATGCAACTGGTAATGACACGGCTCACAGGAGCTGCTCTCCTGCCACGCTCATGAAGGCATTGCTGCTGGGATCCCAGCTCAGGGAAAGCCTTCCTTTGCCAGCAACAAGAAAGCCATCACTGGAGCCAACAGTGGCTAAAAGGCCGCAGAGTGGATACCAGGATGGGTGGAGACCATAACCGTTACCTAAACTTCAAACATACCACACAAGGGACTAGCCTGATTAGGAAAGCTAGCCCTCAACCCAACACCTCTCCTATGCTGGTGATTTATCCAGGCAGTCTGAGAGAAATGCCTTGCTACGGTTTCCAGTGCATGGATGGAGTTTGCCAAGCTGGGATATGCGATAGCTAAAAAGGAAATTGTGGTATGTGTAGAGGTGTTACGGAGGGCAAACAAACACACTGGGCGTGGTTATGCCTGTACGCCGAGAAGTGCTTACATCCACGTCCGCATCGTTGAGCCTGGGGGGCTGACACGGAGCTGGGATCCCCCACGGCCCACCCCTCAGTGGGGGAGTTGCTATATAAGGCGGTGAGCCGGAGGGCTCGGGGTTGAGTGTTCAGCCTTAACCAGTGAAGCAAGAAGACCTGCTAGATAGGCCCTGGGACGCCCCTGAATCGCTGTCCTTCTCAGGACCGACCAGGGCAAGCCAGTGGCGTGGCCCCAAGAGCCCAGAGCCGATGCTCTTGTAAGAGCCGGTCTGGGGACTCAGGGTGGCGTAATCCCAGCTTAACCAGGGCTGGGTTAGCTAGCCTCCCCTAGCCCAGTAGTGGAGGACCGAGGAGTAGGCTAGCTGTGACATAGAGTGTTGAACTCCCAGTTAGACGGGTGAAGGGGCCGATACCCCTTCGAGTGTTGTACATCTCGGCCTGTTATGTACTTTGTGCTTAATAAATAAGTGTGCCTCCAACTACGTCGTCCAAGTCTCCTGGAACCTACTACATATGCATGGATGGTGCCTGACGTGGGGCAAGCCTTAAGGCCGCCCATTCAAGTTAGGATATGATAAATTAATGATGTGTAATGAGCGACTTCCACGACTCGTCGTGTAGAGGGCACTTCCTATTTTATTCACACACGGCACAGCACAAGCCAACCTTTCTTCTCATTACGGTACAACACTTAAATGTTAGCGCTCTACTAGCTACACCAGACATGGGCAAAGTACGGCCCGTGGGCCGTATACGGCCCGTTGTGCTTTTTAATCCGGCCCGCCGAACTTGTCCAAATATTATTAAATTAAATTAGACCTTCCTCCTGTAATGCCCCCATTTCCCCAATAGATGGCGCACTTTGACCGGGAGAGAGAGAGAATATTCGTATGACCAATTCATGTTTCTATTGAAAGTAAGTTAACAGTAATATTTGGGTACAGTAATGTTTTTGGAAGCATTCACTGTAATATCGTATGAACGTTTACTTCACCGCATCATCGTATGAATGATGCGAGAAGAGATTAACTGATCATATGTTAGCGATTTACGTACTCAGCGCTTTCGTTCTCTAAATTACGGCTTGAATGAGGGGGAGGGGTATGACTACATCACAAAATTAATATCTTACTAGGAATTTTATATAACAAAAGTTATATACATAACTGTTACGCTTTGTGTAATTCAACAAAACAAACAAAACTTAACTCCGATTTCTCTCCGAATTTCACGAGTCCGTTCTAGACCCCACAGTTTTTTTAAAGAGTTTTAAGCACAGAAAACATAATTAAAGTTTGAAAAATCATTAATTATACAAACTTTTCAATAATTTTCTTCTTCACTTCGATTTAAATTTTTTTTAAAAACTTCTTCTCACCAACATTACCACTCATTACCACTTTCGCCGAAGGCAAGTTTGTAAAAGAATACATGGTACAGACAGCAGACATCTTGTGTCCGGAGATCAAAAGCAAATTTGAAAAAGTCAGTTTATCACGCAGGACTGTGACTCGCCGTGTGGAACTGATTGATAAAAATATAGCCAGTCAATTAAACAAAAAGTCTGATTCCTTTGAATTATATTCACTAGCACTGGATGAAAGTACGGACGTAAAAGACACTGCTCAGCTCCTAATTTTTATCCGAGGCATTGACGACAGTTTTGCGATAACAGAGGAGTTTTTGACCATGGAGTCCCTGAAAGGAACAACGCGGGGAGAAAACTTGTATAACCAGGTATCTGCTGTCATCGAAAGAATGACGCTACCTTGGAGTAAACTTGTCAATGTCACAACGGATGGATCGCCAAATTTAACTGGAAAAAATGTTGGGCTGTTGAAAAGAATCCAGGATAAAGTGAAAGAGGAAAATCCTATCCAGGATATTATTTTCCTTCACTGCATCATCCATCAGGAATCCCTGTGTAAGTCTGTATTGCAGCTTAATCATGTCGTGAATCCAGTCGTAAAACTTATGAACTTTATACGAGCAAGGAGACTTCAGCACCGTCAGTTTATTACGTTCCTGGAGGAAACTGATGCGGATCATCAGGACTTGCTGTACCACTCTCATGTCCGCTGGTTAAGTTTGTGGAAAGTGTTACAACGAGTGTGGGAGCTGAAAGAAGATATCATCGCATTTTTGGAGTTGATGGGGAAATCTGACGAATTCCCTGAGCTAAGCGACAAGAACTGGCTTAGTGACTTTGCGTTTGCTGTGGACATATTTTCACACATGAATGAGCTGAATGTGAAACTGCAGGGGAAATATCAGTTTGTTCACGACATGTACAAACATGTGAAAGCCTTCAAATCCAAGCTCACTTTGTTCTCCAGACAAATTGCGAACAAATCTTTCGCTCATTTCCCCACACTTGCCATGCAGGAAGAGGCACTGCGAAACGCAAAAAAATACAGCAAATCACTTGAGGACCTGCACGGAGAATTCTGCCATAGGTTCTCTGATTTCGAAAACATTGAACAGTCACTTCAGCTGGTGTCCTGTCCCCTGTCACAAGACCCTGAAACAGCACCACAGGAGCTGCAGTTGGAACTGATAGATCTTCAGTCTGACTCCGTCCTAAAGGAGAAGTTCAACTCTGTTAAACTGAATGACTTTTATGCTTCACTTAACAGAGCCACGTTTCCAAACCTCCGGAGGACTGCACAGAAGATACTGACTTTGTTTGGCTCGACTTATGTGTGTGAGCAGACATTCAGCGTCATGAACGCCAACAAAGCCCGTCACAGATCAAAGTTAACGGATCAGCACCTCCGATCTATCCTGAGAATTGCCACAACCAAAATAACTCCAGACTTGGATGCACTGGCAAAAATGGGAGATCAACAACACTGTTCCCACTGAAACTGAAAGTGATTGTGTTGCTGCAGCGAGGTTGGAGCTAAATCTCTATCACACAGCCTGCGTGGCTGCTCTAACCTGTTAATGTAGATAATAAAGAAGTTCAAGTGAGGTAATTGGTTTGGGCGCAGGCCTCAGATGTTTTCATGATGTTTGATCAGTCACGTTACGACATGTTTTTGTATTGTTCATGTTCGTGCAATTTGTTAAATTGCCTTGCAAATAAATGCTTTGCTACCTGTTAAAGGCCAATTCCTTTCATGTAATCATTTTTACATGTCATTTATATTAGTTCACACAAACACTCCATCCATCTGTTCCTGGCCCGGCCCCTCTGTCAATTTTTAGAACCCATTGTGGCCCGCAAGTGAAAAAGTTTGCCCACCCCTGAGCTACACACACCGTCGATCACACGACGTGGTTCCACCATCCACTCTCGGCTTCGTCGCTGGCTGGCAGTGGGCCGGGAAGGGTGATGGAACCCCACAGGAGGTCTTCCACGTGGCCGGACGACGGAGAGAGATGACGGCGAGCAGTGACGCAGTCCGAACCCAAGACTCTACACATGAACCCCGAGTCCTCCACCCCCGCTTATATTCCCGCAGGCGCAGCTAGGCTCCGCCTCTGGCCACGCCCTATCATGGTCCTTTGCGCAGGTTCCCGGAGCATCCCGTCCAGCCCCGCCCCTTACCTTTGGCCCAGATCCCTCTCTTTCGGATTGGATGTTGTTTTAGTGGTGCCTGTGTCCGTGCTTCCCTTTTCTAACCAGCAGGTGTCATCATGTCATTCCTCAACCCCCCCTCCCCCGCGTAATAAAAAATGTAGCCGTCCCGGCTAATACTCAAACATGTTCCTTCGGAGTGGGCAGGTAGGAACTTGGTTGGACAGCGCATTTGTGCACGACAGCCAGGCAAATAATCCCTGGTGGGCAGTGTGGAAGCTGTTACTACCTGTATAAGTGTAGTGTATCGTGTCGTGTATAGTGTAGTGCGCAGGTTAAATTATGAGTTTAATAAGGGCACCACGGGGTGACCCACCCAGCCCCACCCAGCCCCACCCTTCCCACCCAGCCCCACCCAGCCCCACCCTCCCAACCAAACCCCACCCTCCCTACCCAACCCCACCCTCCCAACCCAGCCCCACCCAGCCCCACCCAACCCCACCCTCCCCACCCAACCCCACCCAACTCCACCCTCTCCACCCAGCCCCACCCAACCCCACCCTCCCCACCCAGCCCCACCCAACCCCACCCTCCCCACCCAGCCCCACCCAACCCCACCCAGCCCCACCCAACCCCAACCTCCCCACCCAGCCCCAGCCAACCCCACCCTCCCCACCCAGCCCCACCCAACCCCACCCTCCCACCCAGCCCCACCCTCCCCACCCAGCCCACCTAGCCCCACCAAACCCCACCCTCCTCACCTAGCCCCACCCAACCCCACCCTCCCCACCCAGCCCCACCCTCCCCACCCTCCCCACCCAGCCCCACCCAACCCCACCCTCCCCACCCAGCCCCACCTAACCCCACCCTCCCCACCCAACCCCACCCTCCCCACCCAGCCCCACCCTCCCCACCCTCCCCACCCTCCCCACCCAGCCCCACCCAACCCCACCCTCCCCACCCAGCCCCACCCTCCCCACCCAACCCCACCCTCCCCACCCAGCCCCACCCAACCCCACTCTCCTCACCCAGCCCCACCCAACCCCACCCTCCCCACCCTGCCCCACCCTCCCCACCCAGCCCCACCCAACCCCACCCTCCCCACCCAGCCCCACCCAACACCACCCTCCCCACCCAGCCCCACCCAACCCCACCCTCCCCACCCAACCCAACCCTCCCCACCCAACCCCACCCTCCCCACCCAGCCCCACCCAGCCCCACCCTCCCGACCTAGCCCCACCCTCACCAAACCCCACCCTCCCCACCCAGCCCCACCCTCACCCAACCCCACCCTCCCCACCCAGCCCCACCCAACCCCACCCTCACCCTCCCCGCCCAGCCCCATCCTCACCCTCCCCGCCCAGCCCCACCCTCACCCTCCCCGCCCAGCCCCACCCTCACCCTCCCCACCCAGCCCCACCTCACCCTCCCCCACCCTCCCCACCCAGCCCAACCCTCCCCACCCAGCCCCACCCTCCCCCTCCCCACCCAGCCCCACCCTCACCCTCCCCACCCAGCCCCACCCTCACCCTCCCCACCCAGCCCCACCCTCACCCTCCCCACCCAGCCCCACCCTCACCCTCCCCACCCAGCCCCACCCTCACCCTCCCCACCCAGCCCCACCCTCCCCACCCAGCCCCACCCTCCCTACTCAGCCCCACCCTCCCCACCCAGCCCCACCCTCACCCTCCCCACCCAGCCCCACCCTCACCACCCAGCCCCACCCTCACCCTCCCCACCCAGCCCCACGCTCACCCTCCCCACCAAGCCCCACCCTCACCCTCCCCACCAAGCCCCACCCTCACCCGCCCCACCCAGCCCCACCCTCCCCACCCTCCCCACCCAGCCCAACCCTCCCCACCCTCCCCACCCAGCCCAACTCTCCCCACCCTCCCCACGCAGCCAAACCCTCCCCACCCAGCCCCACCCTCCCCACCCAGCCCCTCTCCACCCAGCCCCACCCCTCCCACCCCCAACTGAATCACCTTAAGGCTGGGAATGTTGAAAGAAACACGAGGCAAAAGGATCCGCTTTTTTCTTTTCAAGGCTTCCATTTTATGAATGGAGCCACCATCCCCCAGTTCCATTTTGTGAATGAAACATCGCCCTTCTCCTCATTGGCCCGAGTCGCGGCGGTGCCCCCCTCTACCAACCTCAACCCACCGCTCCCATTGGTCGGTGCCCCCGAGCCAATGGGAGGGCTCTGGTGGGGCAGCCAGCCAGTAAGCCAGCCAGGTAGCCAGCCCCCTTAACTATCGGCCCCTTGCTTAGGCCCCTCCCCTTACCCCCCCTCCCTTAGGCCCCTCCCCTGACCCCCCCTCCCTCAGGCCCCTCCGCTGACCCACCCTCCCTTGGGCCCCTCCCCTGACCACCCCCCATATCCTTAGGCCCCTCCCCTGACCAACCCCCCACATCCTTAGGCCCCTCCCCTGACCCCCCTTCCCTTAGGCCCCTCCCCTGACCACCCCCCATATCCTTAGGCCCCTCCCCTGACCCCCCCTCCCTTAGGCCCCTCCTCTGACGCCCCCCCCTCAGGCCCCTCTCCTGACTCCCCCCTTCCTTAGGCCCCTCCCCTGACCCTCCTCCCTTGGGCACCTCCCCTCTCCGTACCCGGCAGTAGGTCTCCACCAAAGAGCTGTTTATAATATATATGTATGCACGACAGTCAGACAGACAAATAATCCCTGGTGGGCAGTGTGGAACCTTGTTCCTACCTGTATTACCTGACCAATACTGAACACCTGTTAAAAAGAGCTGTATAGCTCATCGGATTTCTCCAATTAAAACAAATCCGAAAAAAATATTCAGAATTGAGAAAAATGAATCTTGTAACAGCGTGAAGAAGGGAACCAATTGGTAACAGGTCGGTCGACAGTCAGTGCTCAAATAGGTGAATTCCGCAGTTGTGATAGCGGGGAACTTAACCAACAACCAATCTCTTCCCAGGAGGGGGCAGATCAAATGGAAGGGGAATGAGGGGGACAAATATTCATTGGGAATGGATAGTGGAACATTTAACCTCAACAAAACTGCTAAATGGTGGTGCAGCAATTGAAAAGACCCAGTTATATATAACAAAATATCCCGCATAAAACGTGGGAAATGCGTATCATGGCTAATGACAGAACTGTGCTTTAATTCTGACAGATACATTCACGACATTATCAATGAGGCAGGTAAAAAAAACTAAGAGCTATGAAATATAAACTGGATGAAAACAACATACTCTACGTGGCAGGAGGAAACTGAAACCGTACAAATCCAGTTTTGAGGAAGTAGACATATCAATTTACGAAACCGCAGATATATCAATCTAATTCCAATACGTAAAAACACACGTAGGCTTTCGCGACCAATATCATCATCCATGTATTATACATAAAAACACCATGTAATGGTGAATATCAATAAGTAGAGTTGCAGCCTTCATCGTTATGTAAAACTATTGTATACTAATCGATACAGTACTTTATCTGCTAACTACTGTTTATTATGTATTGTGTATTATCTCGAAGATTTAGGGTTTGTCATCGTTTAAAGAACATATTCTTGGTTCGGTGACCTTACCATCCGCTGTCATGAAGGGAAGTCGCACTCTGTTCCCTGGCAGCCAAATTAAAAGCCTGCATTCTCCACCATTTGATAAGCGCGCTAACCGTTGCGCCACTGTTCCCCACGCCTCTCATCGCAGGTTATCATTGTTGTAACTTTATTACCTGACTCGACTGGACACCTGTGAAAAATAGCTTTATAGCTAATCAGATTCCTCCAATTTGAAAATATAAATCCAAAAAAAAAGATTCTGAATTCAGAAAAATTCATCTTGTAACAGCGTAGAGAAGGGAACCTACTGGTAACAGGTAGGTCGGCAGTCGGCACTCAAATAGGTGAATTCCGCAGTTGTGATAGCGGGGAACTTAACCAACAACCAACCTCTTCCCAGGGGGGGGGGGGGGGGAATGAAATGGAAGGGGAATCAGGGTGACAAATATTCATTGGGAATGGATAGTGGAACATTACTCTTCAACAAAACTGCTAATTGGTGGTGCAGCAATAGAAAAGACCCAGCTATATATAAAACAAAAATCCAGCACAGAACGTGGGAAATGCGTATCATGACTAATGACAGAGGAAGATGCATTAATTCTGACTGACAGATACATTCACGAGATTATCAATAAGGGAGCTAAAAAGATCACGAAGAGCAATGAAATATAAGCTGGATGAAACAACATACTCTACATGGCAGGAGGAAACTGAAACATTACAAACCCAGTTTTGAGGAAGTAGACATATCAATGAACATAACCGCAGATATATCAATCTAATTCCAATACGTGAAAACAAACGTAGGCTTTCGCGACCAATATCATCCATGTATTATACATAAAAACACCATGTAATGGTGAATATCAATAAGTAGAATTGCAGCCTTCATCGCTATGTAAAACTATTGTATACTATGCAATACAGTACTTTATCAGATAACTACTATTTATTATGCATTGTGTATTAACTCGAAGATATAGGGTTTGTCATCGTTTAAATCACATATGCTTGGTTTGGTGACCTTACCATCCGCTGTCATGAAGCGAAGACGCACTCTGTTCCCCGGCAGCCAAGTTAGAAGCCTGCATTCGCCACCATTTGATAAGCGCTTGCTTTGGAAGTATTTTAGCAGCTTTATCTCCGCCGTCTTCTCATTTTTATCGAGGCCACTTATTTCTATATCCAGTTCTTCTTCTACGTTTTCTTTTGTGGCAGAGCAACTATCCATCTCTACCTGGGCTATTCCCCAAGGTTATCGTTGCGAGGTTGCCAAGGCGGTGGACATTCGTGAAATAATGTATTCTTTGGGGAGGTTTTTTCTAATGTATACCATCAGGTTTACGTGACGTATTGCGTTTCTTACGACAGTCATTTCTCAGAAAACACGTCTTGATTACGTGGGCTGGAACAAATTATCTTCTGAATATGACGCTGCCGAGAAATCATGCACATGAACACCATCTACTCTCCCTACTTAGAAATTGTAAATGTTTTTGACTACTATAAAACTAGTTTCCTGTTAAAATACAGCCAAAATAGTAGCGAAAAGCATATTAACACCCTTACAAAAAACGAAGATTTCCATGTACTTTTTCGTAAACGGGTTTGACCAGGACACTCACAATGGCAGAGCACCTTTGCTCAAGGCACTTAACATAGTTTTAAAAACGACATAATACAAGAATGGTTTAGATGGCATGGGCATGCAAGGGCTGAGGAATGTGAACAGTTAAAAAAGCAAACCACAGCGCCTCACTTCCTGCACACCCACAGACTATATCACTATAACCTTTGCAATGGTAGCAAAGCCAGAGGCCTCATTTTACTGAACCTACTAAATATACTGTATATACAATCTCATCCCTGTATTTTGCTTTTTTGTTTGAACGAACTTTTTCAAACTTTATACAAATTTACGGTTTTATAACTAGGGGCACAAATTTGTTTTCGTTTGAAAGCCCTTAGTCTGAGGGTGTGCAAGAAAAAATAAACATGTTTTTCTACGCCATTACAGTGTCGATTTATGAGCGACACTGTAATATGTGGAGCACAAAATACAAAACAGCGCTTCGCTAACGAGCTTATGTGCACAAATAAATCAAATGAAGGAATGAGTGAATCTGGGGAAAATAAGTGAGCAAGGGAAGAGTGAAGTTCTGTGGTGTGGCTGTGTGGTGCAATGAAAGTGTGTGGTAGTGTAACACAAGTAGTGTGTACTATAGTCGTGTAATAGTGTAGTAGTATGGCTTTCGCGACCAGATAATCTATTGAAATTGAGAGAAATTTTTATTTTAAAAGTTATGATAGCTACCAGCTTAGTGCTGCTTGGAAGTGTATAATACTGGTAGGAACCTCCTGGTTACACCAGCCCACATGGGATTATTGTGTCCGTCCGTCGTACATCCAAAAATGGGAGGGGTGGGGCTGGGTAGAGAGGGGAGGGTGGGGAGGGGCTGGGTGGGGAGGGTGGGGAGGGGCTGGGTGGGGAGGGGAATGTGGGGAGGGGCTGAGTGGGGAGGGTGGGGCTGGGTGGGGGGTGGGAGGGGTGGGGCTGGGTGGGGAGGGGCTGGTCACCCCGTGGTGCCCTTATAAAACTCAACGTTTAACCTACTCACGCCGGCTTGTGCCCGCCCTCACAGTCGGCCATATTTGAGGAATACACCACGCCGCCGTTGACCCTGGCCATTGACCGAGCAACCCAACGTTCCTACCAGCTCCCTCCGCAGGAATGTGTTTGCATGCATATACAGGTCACCATATGTCGATGGTGATGAACTGTGAGCAGCCGATAACAGGTATTGGGATATTGTTTGGACCCACAAACGGCAGAATGTACATATATAATATACATACATAATACACATTATCTATGTTGATTATCTGCGAATAACCCATCCAATGATATATATCCATTGTAATTTATGTGAATACATTCACCCCCCCGTCTGGTCTTCACACCTGATTGACTCACAAGTGACAACATCACAAATGACCCCTCTATTTAAGACCGAAACAGGAGGAAGATTTCTCCACAATTCTGGCTGTCGTCCGATGAGGCTGGTTGTATTATAATTACCATCCTACTCAAATGAAAATATTATGGGTTTCCTCTCCAACACACCTGTGTGCTGTACTAGTATCTAATTGGCATATTTTGTTTCGTGACGAACCTTAATAATTAGCTGTGTCGGGTGGTGGCGGGTTTAACATATTTATATTTACATGATCTAACCCAATAAATAATGGATAGTGTCGTAGTGTAGTAGTATAATGTAGTGGTGTGGTGCAGTATAGTGGTGTGGTGTAGGGGTGTAGTGTAGGAGTATGGGGTAGTGGTGTGGTGCAGTGTCGTTGTGTGGTGTCGGGAGTGCAACGTAGTGGTGAAATGCATTAATGTGTGGTGTCGTGAGACTGCTGCGTTTCAGGGGAGTAATGTGTCTGGTGAGTGTCTACTAGGTGGTGAGGTGCCAGGTGTGTCTATTTGACTTTTTTACTCTTTTTTATTTTACCAGGGAAGGCCCCTCTGAACGATGTAGCTCTTATTCTTGGGTTTTTCGGTAAAGTCACGTAGATAGGTTCAAAGAAAATTATCAAAAAATAACAGAAAGCTATGACGTTTCGATCGCAACGCAAGCGTTCGTCTTCAGGAAAAGGGGGGTTAGCTTCCAAGGCAAACTGTTAATAAGGGTTTGAAATGGGCGTAGCCCAAATGTCAGCAGCCAATGATAATGTAAGTGTTCGGCAGCCAACCCGGCGGTGGTTCGTTTTCCACCAAAGGGCCTGCCAGGTGAAAATTAGCATGTTAAAGAGAGATTAGCATGTTAATGGCAGATAGCAGAGCAGCAACCAAGGGGTCGGTGCGCGAAGTGACTGTGAAAGCGCAAGTTTGAAATGGGCGTGAAAGCACAACTAAAATCGGAAGGTGGTAGGATGGGAACATCATAGCCAATTATGACTTAAACTGGTATATGACGTCCTTCCAATGATTGCTCAGTTTGTATCCATCTTCTCGGTTGAAATTGTGTCGCCAATCCCAATATGCACCACTGACCTGTGGCGGAAGTTGTACATCTCCCCCTCTCCCACCGTGGTTGAATCAATAAAAATAATTTACAGAAAAAAATACAAATCTTTATAGCTCCTTTACGACCTATATAGTATAACCTTTGTTGGGGTAGCCAAGCCAGAGCCAAATGCTTAATTTCAATTAAATAATTCAATTAAATAATTTAACTTGGAATAATATGAAATGCCTTATGAACAATACATTACAAAAAACTAAATTGTATGAAATGTAAAGCTATGCATATTGTAATATCCATAAACCCACAGTACGTGTATTAGTTATGAACAGCGGTGCAAAAGGACCTGCTGATTTTCTAAGAGACTATATGGGAGAACTTGCTGGAGAGTGCATTGGTTTAAGTTTTGCTGGGCAAAAAATGGGGTAAGTTGTGCCTTAATTGGATTGGGGATAAGCACACGGGCGACGTGTACCGTGACTCAGCTTCTAGGTCCAGATAATGTCCAGCCTGTAGAAAAGCGAGCAAGCACAGGGCATGTCACATGTTCAAGTTTGAGCTGTTGTACATGATTCGAGAGTAGACACTTTATTAGTCTTCGTCATACACAGAGATCACCACAAGCATAATATAAAAATGCAAGCAAATTGAAAACAGATAATACACATGAAAAGCTGCATGGAAGAACGTTCTGTCATGTCCAATTAAATTGTTTCAGTACAGGCTATGCTCAGCAGCATATGAATATGTGCACTGATCTAAAAGGCATCTCTTTCCACTCAAGTGTTACACAGTATACAAGTGAACAGTTTTTTACTCACTTTTGTTGAACTTGCCCTGTTGTCTGTTTATATTCTTTCAAATATTTGACCCTTAATATATTTTGATCTACGAAGCCTAACGAGCTCAATCATTTTACAAAGACTCGTCTCACGTGACAAATCAACATTTCATTTAAAAGCCAGTCCAAGTCCCGCCGATTCTGCGCCTATTCGTGTTTTTGACTTGATTTGAATTAATACTCGTACATTCTGCCCCCATTCCATTTAAAATCACGAATGGTCACGCTCAGCTACACGGGGAAACGTCGTGTCTACTCAGAGTGGCTGTTGTTGGGGAGCCTATGACCAATGAAAGGCGCACTTATATTGTTGCTCATTATGGCGCCGGAGCTGGCACTGTGGTTCTCTCTTCCTTATCCCGGGACACACAATTACACTAATAATAATTAATTAGTACCATTGCTATTGATAATTTCATGGCTACAATAGTAATACATAGAATTATAATTTGCTTTGTCACGCTCGTTCCGACGCGCTGATGGCAAAATGGTCATGCTGTAGTTGAGTTAGCAGGTGAGAACCATAATCATGATTGTGGGTTTGTGTGGGGGTTTGTGTGTGGTCGCGCACTTGGCTCTCCAACGGTGGGGTTTACGTAAAAAAAATAGCCAGGTACCACGCCATAAGCCCCGTGGTGAGCGAGCGCTATTCCTTTTTCACATCCGTCAACTTTAAATTAGTTTAATTAGCGATTTAGTGCTATTTTTGCGCGCTTCGCTTTTATTAATTTATTTATGACGCGTGCACGACCATACCAACTCACGCGCCTTTGGTGGGGAGGATGGCCCATACCAAGTCGCACGCCTTCGGTGGGAGTGAGGGGGACATTTTCTTTTGCGTTCAAAATCCTAAAAAATTAACTAAACGCTCAGGTAAATTCTTCACTGTCTCAGGTAAATGCTACCACTCTAGGCTGTAGATATTACTGCTGAGCGGCCGGGGACATCGTGCCTGGGGGGGAGGGGGGGCAGGGGTAGCAGCCCAGCCCCAGACTGCCAAGGTGCCACCTCGGCCATCTAGGCGAGGCCGAAGGCTCTGCACGGGACTAAGCCTCACCACGCCACTCTGTCAGGTGAGTGCTTTGTGCTATAGAGTCGATAAATACTGCTATAGAGTCAGCATGTACTACTGTAGTCATAGCAGGTCCCACCACAGTCGGTATGCACTGCTTTAATTATATCAGGTACCACCGCAGTCAGTATGCACTGCTGTAATCATAGCAGGTACCACCACAGTCGGTATGCACTGCTGTAATCATAGCAGCTACTACTACAGTATGCATTGCTGCAGTGAAAGCAGGTACCACCACAGTATGCACTGCTGTAATCATAGCAGGTACCACCACAGTATGCACTGCTATAATCATAGCATGTACCACCGCACGGGACTAGGCCTCACCACGCCACTCTGTCAGGTGAGTACTTTGTGCTATAGAGTCGATAAAT